CTGGCATGATGGCAGATTGTACCAAAATGTCAGAAAACTGGCAATAATTTCCGACCAAACAGGAGTTATTTACCAGTCATATCATATATATATATATACATACGGTTCTCAATCCACGTATGAACGGGACCTAGCATTGGTAGGGACCAATTGTTCTGAATAATTTAAAGACACAACCATATCCGAAGTAAGCGACACCCCTCATAGCCAGCATGGGGTCTTCGTTGGTGGTTTATCCACCTGCCCTATCCGCATGCCTCCCACTTCAGGTTTTGTGTCCTTGGCTCGATCGGCTCGATCGGCTGGATCGGCTCGACATGAAGGGCCCGGCCGGCGTGACATGTTTATTGCTTTAGTCCCCCTCCAACTAGTTGACTAGTTCGATATATCTAGTAATTAGATGTAATGAGTATAAATCCAAGAGCTATATACATGTTTATAAACATTAATTATTAGCTACAGCCCGCAGCAGAAGCCTATCTCCACGAGTGCTGGGGAAGCATTCTCCTTTCTTCAAAAACTGCCATGGCTACTCTTCGGTGGGGATGGATATCAAGGCGAAGCATTTGCAAACACAAAGAGACATGGGTATATAACGGGGATATAACCAACAATATCCAATCAATATCCAACAATATGTTTTTTATCTGTCTGACAATTGGTTTTTAATGGGGAACCTGATTGAGCAATGGATTTAGGTGCACACCATTTCCAAACAATCCATATTATATTTATTTTGGATTGTTTGCGCACATCCACAGTTCTTGCCAGTTGAATCTACATGTTTGCTGATTCATTCTGTGTTCAAAAGCATGCTTTTTGGTGACTTCCCATTTATCCATGTCCAGTCAGCACAGCAGTCCCCAAACTCAAGTTTCCCCATTTAACAATCCACAGATGGTTGTTTCGCTGAGCTAATGCATTAATAACAAAGAGCTGTGACGCCATGATCATCCAGATGATCCCCATTAATGACAACAAAATACCCTTCGGTAATTTAACATAGCTATTGAAAATGGGCATAGAAATAGTTAAGATTTACTAAAAATGGATGATTTTCCACAGCGAACTGTTAGTTACCAGAGGGTAATCCTCCTATCTACAGTATATACCTCCATTAATCCCATCCCCCTGATATTAAACACCAGCTAAATTCCCATAAGCCATTGTTTTTTTTGGGGGGGTTTAATATTAGGGGGAAGGGATTTTACCTCCACTAGTGACGTTGGTGGAGTTCCTCCCAAGGCACTGCAGTTTGTGAAGGCTGTTCGTCACGGAGCCGCTGTGGCTGAAGCGGCCAGCCCTCAGCATGGGGTCAAAATTCTGTAGCCCCAGGAACTAAATGGTGGCTTCCTGAAATAGGTACCCCAAATCATCCATTTTCATAGGATTTTCCATGATAGACAATCCATTTAATTTAGGGGTACCCCCGTTTATGGAAACCCTCAAACGGTTTATGCATACGCCCAGGTGCCCTAGGATGCTGTACGGAGCATTTTATACAGAAAATTGATGAAAATTGGCTATAAAGTGGTCCTCAGCCAACATCCAGAAAGCAGGTGGGAACCCTCTATGTTAATACACTAAAATCCGTGGTTCCCTTCGGCTTAATGTTTGACCCATCCCAATATGATTTAATCAACAAACAAAGGGACCTAACTTAACCATACTTAACCATCAAACATACCTGGGGATTTTGTTTGTTTATCAAGAATCATACAATTGGTCTCTGGGACCCTTTGCATCAAGCCTTGGTTTTCATCATAAGAATTCCAGGGTGCTGCACATATTCCTTTCAATTTAGAGAGTAGCAAATCGGATTTCAATCAATAACAAAATGGATCCTAAGCTGGTGAAAAGATATGTAAAACATAGGTCAAAATGAATCTCAGCTTGGGACATAGTAATAGACACTTTTGAAGATTGTGTCAATATGTCTTGCAGTAGTCTCTCTCTCTCTCTCTCTCTATTGGTTTGCAAATATTCTCCCAAATTTGGTAAACGCAAATTTATACAACCTCAGAGGTATAGTTTTTTTGTGTGAACCTATAGCTATCCTAAAATTATCCTCTGGTAATGAAAGATAGCAATGGAACATATCCCGTTTGCAAATGATTTTCCCAGCTATGAACCTCCTTTGAGTGGGGGAATTTACCCTTGCCACGTTACCAGAGTCTCCATTGGATCCCATGAAATGACATTTTTGTTGGTTAAACCACCATCAAACCCACATTTTTCACTAATCCATGGTAATTATCCTTGAATCCCATTGACTCTCATTATATATATATATATCCCATTGAATAACAATTTCTGATGGTAAAATGACGACCACGCATGACCACGACTATCCTATTATTATCCCGTCAATATCGCATTTTTCGACAAATCAGCTGAACCCTGGAAAAAGGACATCGGGCGGTGCTGATTGGGCGGAGCCTAAGCTTATCTCATACATAAATGGGTGAACTCTCCACGGTGAATTTCAAAAGGAACATGATCAATCCCATCAGCCTAATATTTTCAACACCCCAATTGCATCCAATTGCATGGTCCCAATATGTCCCAATGGAATGTGGAAAATCCCAACAAAAACCGTGGTTTTAATATTAGGGGGTGTTTAATATTAGGGAAGGGATTATCAATGAACCTAGCGGCCCAAGTATTTCAGGCTATCTAGCTGTATCCATTGGATGATGACTCGGGGTCCTTCATGACTTAGGAAGCTCCCAAAAAGTTCAGCCCACTGGGAAGAAGAATATCAACACTTTCTGGACTTACCTAATCAATCCTAATCATACCATGGTGGAATTTGTTCACGTGCTCTACGTGGCACACACTTTTTCATTTCGAACTCATCAGTTTCGCTTGGCTGCTGATACCAAAAGCGAATGAGTATGGCTCAAAATGAGCATTGTCGAAACCCTGTTGTGGTCGAGTTCATCGACTAGTCCGTTTAGGCTATTAGGGGCTTACCACTTTTTTAAGTGATTTGACTGATTTGAAGCCCATTTTCGCCAAACAAGTACTTCGACCAACAAAAAGCTTCCGGATGTGGGAATTAATTAATGAATTCATCACATAGTATATATATATATATATATTATATATATATAACAAATTTGGGTATGGGTCAAAATTAAAGACCTGGGTGACCACAGATGTTTGTCCATTTTTAGTATATATTAATATGTATTCATCACCCACACCCAGTTTGGATCTTTATCATCTTCAGCAACAGGAATTATATAATACCGATATGTGCACAAAATACAAGGTACATCATTAAAGAGGGTTATAGTGGGGATGTGAAACCGTGATTGTAGACGTCTCGAACATCAAAAATATACACTCTGGTAATTTAACATAGCTATTGAAAATGACCATTTATAGTGGATTTAACCATTGAAAATGGTGGATATCTCCATAGTTTTTTGTATGTTTACCAGAGGGTCGTTGAATTTGCTTAAGGGGACCAGTCAATAAAAAAACATCTTCCCGTCGTCGATTTCAATTCTGGATTACCGGACAGACATTGCATAGTCATGGAATCCCTCTGGTTATGTCGAAAAATGGCCCAGTCGAAATAGTGGATTTACCCCGCTACAAAATGGTGATTTTCTATAGCTATGTTAGCTTACCAGAGGGTAAAAAAAAAATCAGAACACCTCTCCCCTCTTTTAATCAAACATAGCCATAGACAATTGATGAACATTGCAATGTTTAATGTCTAAATCATCTACCAATGGGTCACGTTCCATGGCTACTTGGCGGCTCATCCCGCTAGGTGGCTTGTATCCCGAGTCTTGCTTATGGGATTAGTAGGGATAATAGCTTGTGAATGGATGTGCGCCTAGTTCATCCCCAATATATTTTATTATAATGTTTATCTGGTTGGTGGTTGCAACCCCTCTGAAAATATTAGTCAGTTGGGATATGTTGGGATTATTATTCCCAATATATAGAAAAACATGTTCCAAACCATCAACCAGTTATACTCTCCCATCCCCATATGAAAAAAAAAAGGTGAACCTGCATATGGTTGGCTAAAAAGGTCCCATTAGATCCTGTTGATCCCATGGAATTAGCTACATCCAACGGATGGTCATAGATTTTATCTGGAAAGGGGATGGTTTTTGCTGGGAACATCATGAGTAATGCCATCCCCCTAGTTAAACACCACCTAAATGGTCCCAATTGAATGTGGAAAATCCCGACTGAACCATGGTTTCGTTTAGGTGGTGTTTAATATGAAAGGGGGAAGGGATTAAATGTTTTGAAGAATGTTCCAGAACGTGACCACAAAATATTGAGTCTATCATGCATTATGGCTATTCAATGCTCTGCAGGGGTTGTGTATTGTACAATACGAGCCGCACATGGCAGCATGTGCTACACATATACCCTATAATAAATGCCCCCCCCAGAAACAAGTTGGTTTGTAACCCCCCTAAACTATCTATACATAGTATAATAAATATATATATATATGTATACAATACACATCAAACCAGAGTACACCTACTTATAAACCAACTTAGCTAACACAAATCCCCAAGTCCTACTAGATGAGTTCTTTTTGCTGGATGTTTTGGATTTAAGTCACAACATTTCAATCCTGCCCAGTTCGAACCATAGCTTTCAGAAACTGCGCCTTAGGCGCAGCAATTTCCATTGTGAAGATCGTGTCGCTATCGCACCATGCAAACATGTGTGGCGCGTGACACAAGTTGGATCAATGAACCCCAGTTGTTCCAGGGTTCTTTAGGGCGGGCATTGGTCCGGTCCCAGATCTCACTTTGGCATTTGGAGTGCTTCGATTCCACCACCCCAATCAAACTGGTAAGGACCATGGGACATGGTACCTGGAGCTATGAAGAAACCATGGGATTGACAAACAAATCAGGGTCGCCCATCGGCCAAAGCTAAACAATCGTAAACTACCACTGAAAACCGGTGGCTTACTCATCATGCTTTCAACATGAATGTCTGTTTTCGATGTTTCGGGGTGCCAATTTTTATCGCCAAGCCGGTCCGCAGAAGGATGGGCGTTCCGCCCATCCGTCACCGAACATATCTGTACGGCTGAGTCTTGGTCCCCATCCCCATCCCAGACATAACACAGGACAGCGCACAGCAGATCACTGTTCCACCCACCTGGGAGGTTGAAACAAGCGGCAAAGCATGAAAAATGACGTTGTAATTATTCACAATAGGCACTTATTGTGTTGTTTGTTTTTTGTTTTCCGTTCGTTAGCAATATATGTACACCCATTCCTAGCAAAAAAACACCATATTCAAATTAAGACATTAACCTAGCTATCCAAGCTGTTTTTCATGTTTAGGATTTAAACCCATCCATTGGCGCTGTAGAATTCTGAGCCAACAGTCCACCAGTTGCAGCACCAACTGGTATCCAGAGATTCTGTAAAGACATGTCAAAGACCACGTGTGGTTGAAACCGAACATTGCAGAATGATAAATTATGTGTAATTAAACTATCATAATCCCATTTAAATTATATGTAGATTCTAGATTCTAGGTAGTGTAAAAAAACAAATCCATGTCTGGTATTAGATGGTAGAATCATCGCTTCTGTCACCTGGCTGTCTGGTATTTCCATCGTATTTCCCAAGGGGATGGCTCCGTTTGATCCCATTGATGTTCACTGGTGCAATGCAAAAGCTTCAAAGGACTATATAAACCGTATATATCTCAAGTCATCACTGATTCTATCGGAAATCAAAATATGAACATCTAGTAAATTGTAAAAAAACACTACAATATATGTACATTACATATATATATATATATATAGCCAGGCATGCTGGGGTGTTCAGATGCTGAGCATCTAAGAGAAACATGTCATAAAACACAGCGTATGACGCGTCCATCAGGCGGCCCAAAGCCTCCCGCCATCCAAACACAGCTCGAAGGTAGAGCCAACCCCGTAAAGCAAAACCCAAATACATCTTAAGAAGGTACGTGCATCCATAGGTATCTGGCTGGTGGTTTCAACCCCTCCGAAAAATATGAAAGTCAGTTGGGGTTATTATTCCCAATATATGGAAAAAATAAAAAATGTTCGAAACCATCAACCAGTCTTAAGAAGGTACCTGCATCCATAGGTATAGTATGCTATGTATGCTGGTTAACAGCTTATTGGTTGCTAGTTTTGCAACCTAGGCCGGACCCAATGGATTCTGATGTTGATATCTTCACGCACGCCACAATCTGGTGCTCCCCAGTTTTGTAGGTTGGTTTATAAACCCATTAACTATGTATATATATATACGAATGTATATAATAGATATACTGCAGATAATATAAAACTATAAATATGTAATGATAACAATAATAATTACTTTACTTCGTGTGATCCCCACCATGACATTTATACATTTTGTTACTGGCAAATCTTCTGGCATTCTATTTGACATATTTTCTGGCATTCGATCTGGCATTCTATCTGGCATATCTTCTGGCATTCTACCTGGCATATCTTCTGGCAGATGTTCTGGCATATCTTCTGGCAGATGTTCTGGCATATCTTCTGGCATATCTTCTGGCATATGTTCTGGCATATCTTCTGGCATTCCATCTGGCATTCTATCTGGCATATCTTAATTCTGGCATATTATCTGGCAAATCTTCTGGCATTCCATCTGGCATTCTATCTAGCATATCTTCTGGCATATTATCTGGCAAATCTGCTGGCATTCTATCTGGCAAACATTCTGGCACTTTATCTGGCATATCTTCTGGCATTCTAGCTGACATTCTATTTGGCATTCTATCTGGCATACCTTCTGGCATTCTATCTGGCATATCTTCTAACATTCTATCTGGCATATCTTCTGGCACTCTATGTGGCATATCTTTTGGCGTGGATACTCGCGGTTGAGGTCCGGCAGGGAACACTGGGCGTGGATGGTCGTGGTTGAGGTCCGGCAGGGAACACTGGGCGGGGATGGTCGTGGTTGAGGTCCGGCAGGGAACACTGGCACGGATGGTCGTGGTTGAGGTCCGGCAGGGAACACTGGGCGTGGATGGTCGTGGTTGAGGTCCGGCAGGGAACACTGGGCGTGGATGGTCGTGGTTGAGGTCCGGCAGAGAACACTGTGGATCGCGGGTCGCAGTTGGACGAGGACGACGAGGACGACGAGGACGACGAGGACGACAAGGACGGCAAGGATGACAAGGAGGACGAGGAGGACGAGGAGGAGAGGAGGAGGAGGAGGACGAGGCAGGAGGAGGCAACTGACATAAAATCTAATTACTTTACAGGACGACAAGGAGGACGAGGAGGAGGCAGGAGGCATGACGAGGCAGGAGGCGGCAGGAGGCGGCAGGAGGAGGAGGAGGCAACTGACATAAAATCTAACAACCCTCACCTGGCAGGTGGGGAATGATAACAATAGCAAAAAAAACAATAATGATAACAAAACAAAGATAATATATATATATATATAGTTCATATGTATGTATATATACATATTATATATAAATAGAAATACATATATATTATATCTACCCATAAGCAGCAGTTCGCCAAGGCAAATCAACCATATATGTTTTGTTTGGTATCTCGGGGACACTACCCTGTAGGTACACCCCCAGGTGCCAGGTGGTTGATGGCAGAATGTTTTCCAGGCACACTCAAAATACAATGGTAATCACTATGAAAATATGTGGTATATTAATATATATATATATATATATAATATTAAATATACATTATGATATGTGGTAATATGCGGTAATCACTATAATTACACAATATAATATAGTGGAAATGAAACATGGTGTAAAACAAAAAAACATATCATCATATAATGATTTACAGTATATTAATGTGGTATATTAAATAATGGAAATAACACTATCATTGTGGTATACTATAGCCTATGGACCCAAACACTGTCTGAGAAGGTACAGCTAACCCCCTAGTCATCATACCCCACTCGTACTTCCTAGGAAGGTAAGCCCATAGGGAATGGTAATAACATGTGATAATGGGTTTGTAAACACTAAAAACTATTTAAGGGAGTGTCTCAATATCCAAACATATTCAAACCATAGTGAACGATGAGGGCATCAATTGCTTCGTAAACCAATCCAACTATACAATGTGGTGCCCCCTCAGTTCCGTTTGATGATGAAAAAGACCATCTAAGTAACCCTTAACCATAGTCAATCTAGTTATAGGAAAAACTTCGCTAACTATGGGACACCTTGTACATATACCCTTGATAAATCCATAATATATCTCACTTCACCATAGCAAACACACATCCGCAAGTTTCTTCTGCTTGAAACCAACAAATCCTCTGTTGCTGGCTCAACCCCCATTTTTCGCGATAAAATGCCTCTAAAATCACCAATTGATGTGGATTAAATGGGGGTTTAACCATTTATAGGCATTAAAAATAGGGCTTAAATGGGGCTTTAACCTGGAAATATCCCCCTACTTCCGGGCTAAAACCATAAGTTTGTCACGAATCCTCCACCGTATTTTTCCGCTAACACTTGGGGAGCCAAGTCGCCAGGAACATCACAAAGAAGGAAATTTGATCGGAGGAGAGATTCATGTTGAACTGGGCCAAGGCGCGCCCAAGTTCTTCTGGGCTGATGATTTCATCAGAGCTTCCCCGCACAAAAATCAAATAGGTAGATGATCATAAATCGTATGCCATCTAGGGAAGGCTGCGCATCTCAGTTTCAGTGAAAAACTCCCTAGTTTGAATGGGATAAGAAGGATGAACGCGGACATAACTATAAAGTTATGCGGCAATGCGGGACAACCTGAAACAAACTGGGGCCCTCCCACCTCGAAACTGAGGAAATGACCAAACAATTTGAACTGGGGCTAGGCATATAATAAAATACGGCGACAGGGGGTCAAAAATTGATGGGAAAGAATCACGGTCGTTGTTTATCTTGGAAATACAAAACAATAGTATCAGAATTCATAATGACATGGAATGGTATTCCACGGGAAACATGAGGAAACAGCTAAGCAAAACCACCGGACACTGAGGAAAATTGACGGCTGAACCAACCAAACATGGGTTTTGACCGAAGAAATCGGTATTTCGGGAATGTGATAAATACAAAGTGTCTGTGAAACTATGGATCAATACGGGAGGTGGTAATGGAATACTGTAATCGATAGGTGCTAGATAAAATGTAAGGGTACCACCCACCCAAAGATACCCCCCAACAAATAAGGTTCTATGGATAGGGGTTATTTTTCCCCCATCAACCCTTACAACAGCTTTATCTGATCATCCAATGTTGGAGTGAGACGCCTAGAAACAAGGTCCCAGTTTGCTACCTGGGTTTATGGTAGGTATATCTATAATATCAAAGGGTTTCTTGATTCAGATCATCCCACCAAAACCAACTTGTCAACTTGATAAATCCATTCGGATTCTACAGGATGGGGCCCCCCAGTGATGTTTGTTGGTTTAGAAACCATTATAATCCCCATTAATTATAGTTATATCTACCATAAACCATTGTTAAGCCACTTATAAACCAACTTAGCTATCTTGGGGGCCCCACTTTGTAGGTGAAAGCTCTATTGTTTCTGTTTCCTCAAACCTCTCAAAATTCCAACTCGATCTATTTCGAGTTTGACCAAACAACTGTTTTTCCAATAGAAAAGTTAGATCTTTACCGCCACCCCCCATCCGACCCACCTACTTGGATGTGCAGCCCACTGGGTAAGTGGCTTGTAGTACTTGTACTCCATAATCCTTTATATAATCCCATAGTGGTGATATTCCAATATTATAGAGGTTTTCACCCATTTCAGTCGGGCCCCCCCTCCACCCCCAAGTATCCCACCCCATCACATCCATCCGGGCAGCTGGGGTGATCACTTGGACGCCGCCGCCATTCATGTTGCCCCCCGGCCCCGGGTTGACAGTAACTGCCCTCGCGTCAGGACCGCTGGGGCCCTCAGTGCGATGACACAGTCACCCCCCAGGTGGTG